ATTAGATATTGAGAAAATCGCCATAATGTTAGCTTGCATATGTGAGATTTCCACAAGTAAGAAGGACATTAAGAAACATGTTCCATGACGATTCATTTTATGACATTTGTTACTAATTACTATTTTCGTTAGTAGATTTTTAAATAACTTTTTAATAAAAATTTCAGCTTAGAATTAAAAATGAGAGATATACATTACTTCAAAAAATGTACTTGCATATAATTATGCTACATTTTCTGGAATATTCATTGCTTGAAAAAATAATTTTTACGTTTTTTATTTTTCTAAACTGATCAAGGGAACATAATTGGAATAAAAAGTCAAAATATATAAACGATTTATAACCAAGGACATTATGATGTAACTCATCGTTGAAAAATTACAATAGGCAATTTACGTTCTTCGAATTTACATGAAGAGGCAGCAAGAAATTTAGGATCGTCTAAACGTTGATGAGATCTTTTATGACCATAAGCTTTTACTCCCAAGGGTACTTTTGAAGATTTAACTCTCGAAATTAGCAAATACCATCAATCAAACGTCGTCCTGATTGTTTCGTCTGAACAATAGTGATGGCATGGTCGTAAATGAAATGCGTTTTTAACTGCGAATCGCCGAGAATTTATGCCAAATAAATCACAATTCAATGACCATCGATGGGAAAGGTCGATGCAAGTCATCAGTCATTGTAATTCATTTGCCTGTGTAACGATTTAACGTGTTGTATAGTTGTGCAGATTTTTCAAGGACATAACAGAATCAGAAAGTCAATTAATCAAACTGTTACAATTATTTTCACTAACGAATTGATTATTATGACAACGATTTGAAAGAAAATCTTTTTGCAAAGCGGCTAAAAAATAGTTGGAACATTTTCTAAGTAAGCATCATTATTGGTGCGACTGAAATTTCATCAAAATATCATATTGACATGATATCTCTACGTATTTCGTCGACTATTAATTCAGTTTCGTTATTCAAAATTTATAAAAAAAAATCATTCGCACTGGATAAAAGGATTCTCGAACAGAAGCTTTTCACATAAGAAAATTATGCCAACAAACAACAAGCTTTCGAGTTATCTTTCACTCGTAGCTTAACATTCGCTGAATGTAATTTACAATTTTCTTCATTGATGCAATTAAAAATAATCAAAGTAAATCAAGGTATAATCTCGGATCGTTGAATGAAGAGATATTTAATTAAAAAATCGCACGATAAGATTTCTTCGGACGATGTTAATGCACTATTATTTCCAATTGAATATTCCGTTATTGAAACTTACTCACAGTCAGTATACCTAATCCGCATCTTACTTTACTTAATATGAAAATAATTGTCGGTTCAACGATAAGAAGATTAGACAAGGACGAAAGGTGAAAGCTTACACTAATCCCAAAATGTCCAAATGCCAGACAATTTGAGAAAGTCCCGTTATTAGGATTATTATGCCCGAGGTTTTAACGTATAAAAGGGCTGGCATCGGTTCTAATTGTACATAAGGGCTGGCATCGGTTCTAAAGTATATAAGGGCTGGCATCGGTTCCAGACGTCTCAAAAGTTCTACTCTGTGCACACCATGCGATTATCAAGCATCGTCGTTCTCTCCGTAAGTATGAATTTCTTTCTGAAATATATATATATATATATATATATATATATATATATATATATATATA